CACTTCCAGGAATACAGGGCTTACAGTGTCTGGAATGCTTTTAGCTTAATGAAGCCAAGAAATGGTAAAAATTAATCTGAAATATTTTAATACATAATCAAAAAGTTCTCCAGAGCAACGTATATTCCTTTTACACATGTGCAGGGTGTTGTTTTTTTAAGGCAGTATATGAAACTGTTCTTTGTTGTCTAGGATAATATGTTGTCTAGGATAATATGTCCACACCGCCCCCCTCGGGCTTTCCATACTAGTGGAAAGGGATTCGCATAGCAAATATATGTATGTATTCAGATGAAAGCCTGATTGACTTCAATGGGGCTCACTTCCCAAAAGTCCACACTGGATTTTCATCCCACCACCTCTGCTTTATGTTTCAGGGCAATGATTTGCCAAATTATACGAATCCCAAACTCCCTGTCCAAAAATGAAGAATGCAGCAAAATCCCTGATGGATGGCATGTGTGTGGAGGAAGAACAAGCACAGCAGAAATCTCTACGATGAGTGCATTGATCCTAGGTTTACAAAGTACATGACACAGAGGGCTGGACCACACATCTCAAAAACCAAGAGGATCTATAATAGGCCAATGGTTCACAAGGAAGGTGGGATGGTGAAGCTAAACAGGTCTGCCTCTGGTCAGTGCCTAGATGGGTGACCACCTGGGAACTCCATGCACATCACCTTGGGCTCCCTGATGGAAGAAAGGCAGGATATAAAGGTAAGAAATGAAATAAACATCCTTTCCCCTTTTGTGGAACCTCTCACCCTTTGTGAAGTGTGGGGGATTTTGTGACATTTTGAGGCAGGCCGATTCTTAGATTTGTGTGAGGTAATACAACAACAACAACAACAACAACAACAACAACAGCTTAAAGTAATACTACTTTAAACAGTCATAGCTTCCCCCAAGGAATTCTGGGAGCTGTAGTTTTTCCAAGAGCTGTTAGGAGAACCCTATTCCCCTCACAGAGCTACAGTTCCTGGGGTAGCACAACAATCTATCCCTCTTCATAGGGAACCAGACTTGGCCAGTATGAATCTTGACATGGGGAGGGTGTGTGTATGTTATTTGCTGCACCACCTCACACAGCAAATTCATTTGGCCAGACTATCTCCATCCCTTCCACATATGAATGTCTCATGTTCACAGTAATAAAAACACAGCAAAACAGCATGCACTAAAAACTTCCCTTTACAGGGTTGCCTTCAGATGTCTTCTAAAACTCAGATAGTGATTTATTTCATTGACATCTGATGGGAGGATGTTCCACAGGGTGGGCATCACTACTGAGAAGGCCCTCTGCCTGGTTCCCTATAACTTCCCTGCTTCCAGTGAGGGAACCACCAGAACGCCCTTGGAGCTGGACTTCAGTGTTTTGGCTGAAGAATGGGCAGTGGAGGTGCTCCTTCACGTATATCGAGCCGAGGCTGTTTACAATCTCCTGTAATGCCCTCATCTTTTCCAAAATACATTTTCTTTAGGCCTTTTGATTCTCCCAAATGCCTACCCTTTCGTATGTGCAATCTTTTGTGTTGTCCTCTCTCTCTCTTAACATTTCATCTTCGTGCTTCCAGGCTGTTTTAATGGCACTGCCCCATTTGAATCAGTGGCACAAGCTTGGGCACTCTCAGCCTGATGCATTTAACACCACTCAAGGGATAAAATTACCAGTCTGGAAGAATTTTTTTTCAATAAAATAAAATAAAATAAAATGCACTTTTGAGCCTTCACTACATGCAAGGTTTTTAGCTTTCATTTTTCTTACTTGTGACTCTCTGGGGTCCAGTTGGGAAACCGTTCTGCCCCATTTGCTTCAACTTTGGCTGAATTTTCCTCAGAATGAGTGTAGAATTGAGTGTTTCTAAGTAAAATACATGAATCTGTGTACAGTTACTTCTTTATATAACACACACCGGAGGGAGTGTGTAAAGGGGAAAGAGGGAAGAAGGGGGGCGGCGGCAGGAAAATCTGGATTTATGCTCTTGTTCTTTTTCTCACAGATATATGCCAATATCTATAGCTCTCTATTTATACCAGTTGTCACTATTACTAGTAGGGTCACACTAGTAGGGACAAGAAACAGAACCTGGGATAGGGCTACACATAATAATAATAATAATAATAATAATAATAATAATAGAAATTGCACTTATTAGTTCCATTTTAAGAAAAGCAACTCAAAGCATCTTACAGATACGTATTATATAAATTAAAGCCAATATAAAACAGCAAAAGTTATAAAAAACCCATATCTATTTATAAAAGGGCATTGAAGGAGGTCCTGAATATCAAGGCCCTCCAAATTAAATGCCGAAGTTCTGGTGGAAAATAAATACTTTTGCCTGGCATCTAAATATGAATGTATGAATGTTCATACAACCTCCTATGTTGAAAGAGTCTCTGCCCTTTCCAAGCACTGAGGCTCCACCCCCACCACTGATGCCCTCAGAAAACACTTCTCCCAATTTTGCCAGGTTCCCCGCTTACGTGTACATTTATGGGCAGTGTTTCTGCTATAGGTGCCGGCAGTTGGGTGTGTGGCCTCATTGCATGTTGATGATATTGGGGCTAGCTAACATGCCCTTCCAACTTCCTCCACAATTCTTTCAACAAATTGGAGGTGTGTGTGTTTGTGTGGGGGAGGTCATATGAACCTGTCTATGGGTCCCTGAGGTTGTCTGCAAATATCTGAAAAGCTGTCCCATGGAAGATGGAGCAAGCTTGTTTTCTGCTGCTCCAGAGGAGCTGAAGTCAGTCCAGGCTCCGCCCTCCCAGGTTAGGTGGAGAAAGCTTTGTCTGCAAGGCACAATTCTAGCTTTATTAGGACATTGTTACTTATGGTGAGGGTGGTTGTTGCTTTTTCGAAAAGAAAACCCTAGGTTGGAATGTTGGCTCTTCCATGGAATCTATGGAATACGATCAACTGTGTTAGTAATGAGATAAAGTTGTGGGGAGCAATTGTTCCATGCCAAAATTGTGTGTGAGTTTTTCATACATCAAAATGTACATAAAGCGACCATGATAATATCCTAGTGTGTACGTGTGTGCTTAAAAAAAATAGCAGTGTGTAGTATAAAGGGAACTATTTAAATCCACCCAATTTCTCATCCCACTTGTCACATAAACAGAAATAAAGGCAGTGAGAGATGGCTGAGGAGAGGCCAATATTTCAATATGAAGCAGCCTTGAGGCTAATTCTATGCGGAGACTCATCTGTAACAACAGAACAATCATATGAACGTTTAGCTGTTAGACGGCAGATATTCAACAAGAATTGGAACCATCAGTCATAATCATCTCCATCTTCTGATTCTGATTGTCTTGTATTATGTTTAAATGAAGTTGAATCCAAAAGGAATCCATTATGTGATGCATTTTAAACCTATGACTTACTGTCACAATGAAACCACTTCCAGAGAAGTAAACTTGTATGTACAGTGGTGCCCCGCAAGACGAACGCCTCGCAAGACGAAAAACTCGCAAGACGAAAGGTTTTTTCGTTTTCGAGTTGCTTCGCAAGACGAATGTCCCTATGGGCTTGCTTCGCAAGACGAAAACGTCTTGCAAGTTTGTTTCCCTTTTCGTAAAACCGTTAAAACCCAGGGTGCATTGCTGGAAGAGGTGCAGTTGCGACTTGACCTCGAGGAGCAACACATTGCACGCGGTGTGGTGGCCTTTCTGAGCTTTTTAAAGAGTTTGCTGGATTTTGAAGCTTTTCCAAAACTTCTTTTGCAGCTGTTCGGTAAGTTAAACTTTTAAAACTTTTTTTGGGTTTTTTGGATTTTGGGTTGGGGTGTTTAGAATTCAAGGACTTGGTGTTGGGGAGGGGTTTGCAAGAATCTGGGAGCTTGTGTGGTTTTTTCCTGCATTTTTATGATTTTCTGTGACCATTGGGCCATGTTTATTTTTTTTTTAAAAAAAATCTGGCTTTGAATTTTTGAATTTCTGTGTGCTGGGTGGATGGGGGAACAGCTGGGGAGGGGTTTGCAAGAATCTGGGAGCTTGTGTGTCTTTTTTCTGCATTTTTATGGTTTTCTGTGACCATTGGGCCATGTTTATTTTTTAAAAAATAATAATCTGGGTTTTGAATTTCTGAATTTCTGTGTGCTGGGTGGATGGGGGAACAGCTGGGGAGGGGTTTGCAAGAATCTGGGAGCTTGTGTGTCTTTTTTCTGCATTTTTATGATTTTCTGTGACCATTGGGCCATGTTTATTTAAAAAAAAAAAAAAATCTGGGTTTTTAATTTCTGAATTTCTGTGTGCTGGGTGGCTGGGGGAACAGCTGGGGAGGGGTTTGCAAGAATCTGGGAGCTTGTGTGGGGTTTTTTTTGCATTTTTATGGTTTTCTGTGACCATTGGGCCATGTTGTTTTTTTTTGAAAAAAATTTCTGGGTTTTGAATTTCTGTGTGCTGGGTGGCTGGGGGAACAGCTGGGGAGGGGTTTGCAAGAATCTGGGAGCTTGTGTGGTTTTTTCTGAATTTTTATGGTTTTCTGTGACCATTGGGCCATGTTGTTTTTTTTGAAAAAAATTTCTGGGTTTTGAATTTCTGTGTGCTGGGTGGATGGGGGAACAGCTGGGGAGGGGTTTGCAGGAATCTGGGAGCTTGTGTGGTTTTTTTTGAATTTTTATGGTTTTCTGTGACCATTGGGCCATGTTGTTGTTTTTTGAAAAAAATTTCTGGGTTTTGAATTTTTGAATTTCTGTGTGCTGGGTGGCTGGGGGAACAGTTGAGGAGGGGTTTGCAACAGTTGGGGAGGGGTTTGCAACAGTTGGGGAGGGGCTGGGGAACAGTTGAGTTTTTGAAGACTTTGGTGATTTTTAAAGCTTTCCCAAAACTTCTTTGCAGCCATTTGAGGATTTTGAAGACTTTGGTGATTTGCAGCCATTTCGTAAGTTAAACTTTTAAAACTTTTTGGGGGTTTTGGATTTTGGGTTGGGTGTTTGGAATTCAAGGACTTGGTTCTGGGTTTGAATTGCTGATTTTCTTTTCTTTTCTGAGTTTACAAAGGTAACAGCTGTGCTGCCATGGGACCCAAGAAGACTGCTGCTGCTGCGGAGGCCGGCGAGAGGAAGAAGGAGAAGGTGACGCTGGAGATGAAGAAGGAGATCATCCGGAAGCACGACGGTGGAATGCGTGTGACGGACCTCGCCAGGGAGTACGGCAGGAACCCATCGACCATCGGGACCATCCTGAAGATGAGGGAGAAGATCCTTGCGACTGATGCAGCCAAGGGAGTCACCAGGATCGTGAAGAACCGCCCAGCTGTTCTGGAGGAGGTCGAGAAGTTGCTGCTCATCTGGTTAGAAGAGAAGCAGCGTGCAGGGGACACAGTGACTGAGGCCGTCATTTGTGAGAAGGCCAAGGCCTTGCACGCAGACCTCATCCGGGAACAGCCAGGAACCTCGGCCGAGCCAGAAGTCTTCAAGGCAAGCAGAGGCTGGTTTGACCGGTTCAAGGCAAGATCCGGAATCCACAGCGTGGTCAGGCATGGAGAGGCTGCCAGTTCTGATGTTCCTGCGGCTGAAGACTTTGCCTTGGAGTTCCTGGAGGTTGTGAAGACGGAGGGCTACGTTCCACAGCAGGTCTTCAACTGCGACGAGACCGGGCTGTTTTGGAAGAGGATGCCCAAAAGGACTTTCCTCACACAGGAGGAGGCCAAGTTGCCTGGCCACAAGCCCATGAAGGACCGTCTGACCCTGCTCTTCTGTGCCAACGCAAGCGGCGACCTGAAGATCAAGCCCCTGCTGGTGTACCACTCGGAGAACCCACGGGCCTTCAAGAAACACAAGGTCGACAAGGAGCGGCTGAGTGTCATGTGGCGATCCAACAGCAAGGCTTGGGTCACACGTGTGCTGTTTGTGGACTGGGTCAATCTTGCCTTTGGCCCTGCTGTCAAACAGTACCTGCTGGACAACGACCTGCCGCTGAAGGCTTTGCTTCTGATGGACAATGCTCCTGCTCATCCTAAAGGCCTTGAGGTGGACTTGTTGGAGGAGTTCAGCTTCATCAACATCATGTTCCTGCCGCCTAACACCACGCCACTGCTCCAGCCGATGGATCAGCAGGTCATCGCCAATTTCAAGAAACTCTACACCAAGGAGCTTTTCAGGCGATGCTTCGAGGTGACTGATTGCACCACCATCACCCTGCGGGAATTCTGGAAGGACCACTTCGACATCGTCACCTGCTTGAAGATGATCACCACGGCCTGGAACGGGATCAGCCAGAGAAATTTGAATTGCGCTTGGCGCAGCCTGTGGCCGGACTGTGTGGCACCAAGTGACTCTGATGCACCAGAGTCGACAGTGGTGCAGGACATTGTTGCCTTGGGGAGGACCATGGGCCTGGAGGTCACAGAGGAGGACGTCTGCGAGCTGGTGGAGGAGCACGACCACGAGCTGACCACCCAGGAGCTGGTTGAACTGCAGTCAGAGGTTGCGCAGGAGCAGGCCTCGCTGGAAGAGGAGGAAGCAACTGAGGAACGGCCGTCCTCCAAAGAACTGAGGGACATTTGCCAGAAGTGGAAGGAGGTGCAGGCTTTGCAGAGCGGCACCACCCTGACAAGCACGTGGCACATGACCAAGCGAACACTTTTGATACGACGGTCATGTTGCCTCTCAGGGAGCTGCTGAAAAGGCGGATGAAGCAGCAGACCATGGACAGGTTCCTCAGCAAGAAGCAAAGAGTGGAAGAGGAACCTTCTTCGAGTGGTCCCCAGAGTCTTAGAAAATGTAATGTACCCTTTTTTGATTTTTAAATGTTTTTCCTGTCATGTTTAGAAACTTAATTTATTGTTCCTTCAATTTTTGATATGCTCTTTAAAGTATGTGTGACTTTAAAGAGCAGTTAATAAACTCTTGTTGTACCAAATTTGGCTTTGATTGGACTTTTTTTGACCATAGGAACGCATTAATTGAATTTCAATGCATTCCTATGGGAAACCGTGCTTCGCAAGACGAAAAATTCGCTAGACGAAAAAACTCGCGGAACGAATTAATTTCGTCTTGCGAGGCACCACTGTATTTATACAGCAAACTTGTATGTATTTATTATTTCTTAAATCTGTATCCCTTTATTCCTCAAAATGGTGGTCAGTGACAGAGACATGTAGCACCTCTAGCAGGAGCAAGTTTAATATGGCATAAGCTTCCACAAACTACAGTCCACTTCAGATTTTATTTTGTATTTTTTTCACTAAAATTTATATACCACATAAGAGGAGCCTGCTAGATCCTGCCAATGGCCCAGCTAGTCCAGTACCCTGTTCTCAGGCTTTTCTTTAAATATTTGGTTTTAAGAAGCTATTTTTGATAAATTTGCTTAAAAATTAAGGGTATCCCAGGGTGCAATCAAACTTATGGCTTTTGCCTCCACTCTGTGGTCATTCGTTACTTATATGACAGGCCAATCAAGGGGATGGCAAGTCTCAGTGAAATGTGGCTTTATTTGGTATCCACAACATATGTTTTGTATTTTCTTGGCATCAGGTCGATTTTTGCTGCAGCATCTAATTTATTGTCAGGGACTGGCTGGTTGGCAAGGCATGGTGGGTGGCTCTAGCTGGAGAACCCCCTAGGGAAGCCCAGTAGGAGGAAAGCTCAGAGCCAGGGGAGTGGTAGTGAGACCCTGAGGATGAAAGGGGCGGCAGGGGAAGAATGGTTGGGTGCTGAAGAAGCAACAGGCTTGAGCGAGAGAGAAGAGCCCAATGCAGAAAGCAATTCAGATAAAGGACATGAAGCAGATAAGGAGGGGTCAGAGGTTGCAGAAGCAGCCACAGAGATTGCCTTTTCAAAGAGCACAGGTGGTTGTCCCCCCCCCCCGACATAGTTTAAGGCTGCTTAGGAGACATCTGGCTGGGGAGGAGACTTAGGGGGAAGTAAGAGGCACAGATCATCACTCTTGACAACTGTGTTACTGGGGCAGGCCTTGCCCTGAGGTTTCACTGCTTGTATGCTGTTTTTATTGAATAAAGAGTTAACTTTGCTGCTTATCTCTGAGTCTTCCGTGCTGGCCTGCCTCTAAACCAGCCCTGACATTTATAGTACAATCTCTTGAAAATTGATTTTCTGTGGCAATGGCTGTGAACACTGTTTTTGTTTTGTAGAGGACTCCCCTCACTTTTCTTTTCTTTTTTAATTTTACATTTCTTACTGGACTTTTATGTTAACTTCATAGTAATGTTTTGAAAATTAAAGGATGAAAAGAGATATATTCAGATTTTCCACTTAAAAAATTAACCATGTTGTTTGTCTCAAAAATTCCATGCATGAATTCTCCCCAAGAAGAAGTTTCATGCAAGTTGCCTATTCACTTCAACCACCTTCATATGCCTCAAGCCAGAAACCCTTTAGGTTATGATATTTTGGAAACTTGCAGGAGCCAAATACCCAACCTTTGGAATATTATGTGTGATCCTACCCGCCCCCCGCAAGTTAAATGTCATCGGAAATGATGATGACTTTCTTGCCTAAGAATAGTAATCATAATCTTAAAAAATGTTACCAGGTCAATTACCAGAAATATTGACAGCTACAGCATTGGGACAGGGGGAGTTGACTTTGGCCAAGTTTTCATTAATTCTAAAATGGGCTGTATTGGAGCTGCTTTAAAGATCTGCTCTATAAATAGCTGAATGAATCCAAATCTGGGGGGTACTGAATGAATACTAGTCTCAGTTTCCATTATTTATTAACATAATAAGGCCGCATACAAGAAGTGATTTTTTGAGTGTTTTGTTTTAGTGCATAGATAAAGCCAGGAGCCTGATGGAAGGGAAGGGCACACTTTTCATTTAAGAATTCTGCAATTAAAGCAACATTAGGCTATTTCAGCATCCGGGAAGCATTCAAATGGGCATCAGGCTATATTTTCGGCATTCAGCAGGTAAAGTTGCATTCGTATACACACTTATAAGGCAACAATCCCCTTTGAACAACAGTGGGACCTACTTCCAAGTAAACTAGCCTAGGACAAATGATTTTTAAAAAGACTTTTTAACATTTCCCCCCTGAGGCTACATGCACACAGCCCCTGCTGCTAGATTAGGTTTAATAATATTCATATATTTAATATACCAGCCAATTTGAGATTCACGGAAGCTATCTATCTGTGGACTGATTTTGAAAACACAGCACTGGGTGACTGAAGGTGTGTCATGAGACTAGAGTAGGTCATATGTTACTCATGGACAGTCTCACTCTCTGAGTAGGGGTGACTGGCTAGTGCAAGAAGGGAGAATAACATCTTTGAAGCTGGAAGTTGTAAAATTTCATGCAACCCCTGGAGAACCCTGATTGAATGATATCTATCTATCTATCTATCTATCTAGGTTTTCAGCTAGATAGGTTTGCCTGGTGCCTACTTTTAATGCCAGGTGCCTGGTGTCGACAATTTTTGTACTCTCAGGCTTTTCAACATCTTTTAGCATTTATCATATGTTAACGTACTTCATATCTGCACCCAGATCAAGCAGGAGGGTGGAAAGGTGGAAAAAGTCCAGTTTAAAAACTATCAAAGACCTTATAGCATGGGAGTGGGCTGCCTGCTGCACTGGACAAAGAAGCCCCTTCTCAGAGAAAGGATGTCATCCAGCCCAGGGATGGTGCTCAGCAGCTCTTTCTGATATTTTGAATTACTATAATTTTACTGAATTGTATTCATTGTTCTGATGAATTTATTGTTGTTGTTTGCTTTATTTATATGTCACTTTATTTGGTATTACAGTGTTTACCAATGTTCCCCCATTCCAATGCTTTTGTAATGATTGTGAACCATTTAGAGCTCAACGTTTGTGGTTGGAAAAGCGGAATACAAATATTAAAGCAAGCAGGCAAGCACTCATATTTTTTATTTTAGCCTCTGTAGAATGACGACAATTTGGTCTGTTTCACCTTTTGAAGCTGTGCTGAGCTTTCCTGTTATGCCAATTGGACTGGTTTCTGAGGTCTGATTTTGTCTATATTGGATTGTATGGCTGTATGGTTTTATTGACTTATGGTTTTTGGTTGTCTGTTTTAATTTTGTCTATTTTTACTGTGTGCGTTGCCTGGATAATATTTTTTTATTTGGCAACTTGTAAATTGAATTAATGAATAAAAATAGATAAAACAGCCACCTCTTTTGCACATGTGACTGCAGCGAACAGGATTTGCAATCTAGTAGTAGGCCAAATGGTACCTGGACCGCAGTTCCATGCACTGTTGGTTAGAAGTAAGTTCTGCTGAAAAAAGTGGGAATTACTTTTGAGTAAAGATGTATAAGATTGCCTTAACAGAACTCGCAATCTTCATTCAGCACAATTTGCAATATTCGGCAATGGAATAAATCAATCTCTTTTATTTTCCATTTACTTCGTAAGGAAGAGAAGGGTGTTCTCACAATCTGGATGGCGTGTCTAGAATGGTGGCCTCTTGTTCTTTAAACCTCAGCTATTCGACAACTGCATACAAGTAGCTGAGTCACACATGTGTCACGAGCACTGATGGAACATTGCACGATTAAGAAGAAAGAAGTCTGGCTTTGATTACTGATAATTATAGATAAGATGTAGTTGACAATCATTTTCTGACCACAAACTCAAATCAATCAATTAAAGACTTCGTACAGCAGCACTCAAGCCTAATCATTCCCAGGCTCTTAAAACGATCCATTAAGTCTTGAAGCATGTCAGGGCTGCTGCATTCCATTTGTTCGTGCTTCCACCGATCAGCTACCCGGCTTCTATTCAGCTAATTTCAAGTGGCGGCTTTTGTAGCTTTAAAAATGCTATGTTCGTGGGCGGAAATTAGCTAAAATTGTAAAATCTTTGGCTTCGTTTAATGGGGGGGACTTTAGAAATCACGATTAAAACAATCTTGCTCTCAAATATGTGCACAAATATAATTATGCACATTTCTTCCCGGCTCTGCAGATTTCCGGGAAAGGTTGCACTTGGACCGTAACATTTTAGAGGAGTTGAAACGGGATCAGAGTTCATGTACTCCAGCCTCCTACCTGGCGCCAAAGTCAACAAATCAAGACTATAGATAAGCATAAAGTAATAATTTGAATGATGTTTCCACCCCCCTCCAAGTACACAATGCCTGGAATATGGGTCACTTCTTGACATGAACCATTTTGTTAACTTAAGCAAAATTGTTGGATTCAACATTAGCCATGATTTTGTTTATAAGTTATATTCTGACTTTCGAGTGCATCAGACATTTTACACTTCCAGGCAATCGTTTCCTTGGCACAACAGCAGTGCAAGGCATTTCAGAAAGGAGACAAATGCTGGTTCCATCCTGTTCTTCTCTAAGGAGGATTCATATTAGGACTATGAAATGATGCAGTTACTCCTCATTTCAGCATCAAGAAGCTGAAACTACTGGCATGGGGCGTAGGCAAGTTATCTGCCCCTCATATATAGGTATAATGGCCAATGGCCAGGGCTGATGGGAGTTGTAGTCCAATGACAGCTGCAGAGCTCAAGAACTTCAGTGCTAAACAAAGCTCAACAACTTTGGTTGGCCCTTTGGTTGGCCCTCACGGCCCTTCACTTCATCAAATCTGGCCCTCTTTGAAAAAAGTTTGGACACCACTGGCATAAGTTGTCAAAAAGAGGCACTTCAGGGGCATGGCGGGGGGGGTGTGTGTGACAAGGAGACACTCACACCTATTTCAAATCCTTTTCAGCTCAGTCATGTGACTTAGCAACCCAGCAGAACTTAGCCAGCCAAACAAGCTGTGTAAATCAAATTCCTCCAAAGTCCTCCTGAACAGAGTGTGGAATGGGGTTGATTTACATCAGATTTCTATCAGCAGGATTGTTCTGTGAAAGTACATGAACAGACCAGAATTTAAACATTAAAAAACTGTTGTAAAAATACAAGCAGCTGAAACCATCTTAAAAGAGTGCAGTAGCTAGGAATCAGCAGGCAACCTTTGGGGGAATAATTTGGTGCAAGGAGAATGTTGTCACCAGGTACCTAAAGGACCATAGCTTGTGGGGAGGGTGTTCCATAAGAGTTAAGCTTTGAGAAGGCTCTCTGTCTAGCAGGGATGGGCAAATGAATCAGTTTTTGTTCCTCTCGTTTTCTCATTACTCCACTCTTAAGTTCACTTCTCTTTGAAAAACCCATCCTCATGAAAATTCAGCAGCCCTGTAGTACAAATGTATTGCAATACACATGTGGTTGTATGTGATTTTGCTCGATATTTTGCTCAAATATATTTTGCATGCTATTTTCACTAATATATGCATGCTTCTGTACACTTTAGCCTAGTAGACAAGTTCTTGTATGCATTGCTTGGTTGGAGAACTGTACTGCAACATTCAGAGAAGCATGAGCTTTGAAGGATGACTGTGTTTCAGTTCCTATATTGTTTTGCAAAGCACTAATTAAATTGGTTCACCTAGAAATGCAAAATGAATCAAATTTCTCTTCCACTCTTATAACCACCATCCTGGGGGCAGGAAGAAGGGTCTCAGAGAGGATCTCAGTATGGGTAAATGGGATCCTTTGGATAATCTGGCTGGAAGCTGTTTAGCCTTGAAACAGATTGGCGTTAGAATAAGTAGTAATGGTGGGACTTGGGGTAGCTGAAATACCGTATTTTTCGCTCTATAAGACGCACCAGACCACAAGACGCACCTAGTTTTTGGAGGAGGAAAACAAGAAAAAAAATATTCTGAGTCTCAGAAGCCAGAACAGCAAGAGGGATTGCTGCGCGGTGAAAGCAGCGATCCCTCTTGCTGTTATGGCTTCTGGGATAGCTGCACAGCGTGCATTCACTCCATAAGACGCACACACATTTCCCCTTACTTTTTAGGAGGGAAAAAGTGAGTCTTATAGAGCAAAAAATACAGTATATCCTTAAGAAAACTGGTGGGTACTGGTCTGGAAGCTCAGATCACATCTGAAATGTGCCAAACTCATTTTCAGTGACTGGGCTTCTCTTCAGCCTTCACTGTAGCTGAATACTAATGCAGAGTATAACCCTTAGCATCTAGTTACAATCAATACTTTAATTTCAATGAATGCTGGTATTGAGATGGCTGGGTTATTTGGCCAACACGTGCTCCCTTTTTGCCCTTCCCCTCAGGCACAATATCAGATAATGTATCATCTTCCAAACTAAAGCTAAACTCAATAGGAGAATTAATTGGATTTATGTTTCCCTGGCTAATGTAAGTCTTTGTTGCTTAGACTCAAAAAAAATATCTTCCAGTGGAATTAATGCCCAACATTTTGACACAAGGAAGTGCATTTTCTAAGTGCTGTGGTTTCGGTGCTTGTCACTTAAGACGTTGGAAGAAAATCCTTAAATATACAGCTCAGGGGGTGATTTAAAGATGACTTACTTTGGGGTCGTTCTCTCTGGATTTAAAATAGCTTATTAGAGAAAGGAGAACAGCCTTCATGCCAACCAAAAAGATGCAGGAACTTACTCTTTCATGCCCAAACACCTCAGATGTTCTTTTTCCCAGTCTATTTGCAGCCATTAAAAATAAAATCATACCCAGTGTAGTAGCACAATAAAGCCCTCTAAATGCACATTGAAATGAATCTGCTCTGGGTCCCATGCTATCCAAGGAAGTATCACTTTGCAAGACTTATTTGTTATACGCTTGAAATGTACCGTATTTTTCATCCCATAGGACGTTCCGTCCCATAGGACGCACCTAGTTTTTTTGGGGGGAAATAAAGGAATTTCCCCCCCTTTATTCCCCCCCCAAACCAGGTCGGGGAAACCGAACCAGGTCGAGGAACAGCGGGATGGCGGCGCTGCGCCTCCCTGCTGTCCACCGAGCTTGTGGGGCTGGCCGATGTCTGCCCGGTGCGTGGGGCGCTCTGCTTCAGGGTGCCTCGGGCACCGGGTGGCAGGCTGCTATCTGCAGCGTGGGGAGCCCTGCGGGGAACTCCCGCAGGGCTGCCTAGGCTGTGGATGTGTTCCCGAAGCGCCGGGCGCTCTGCTTTCAGCGCGCCCGGCGCTCCGGGAAGCAGGCTGCTATCCGCAGCCTAGACAGCCCTGCGGGAACTCCCGCAGGGCTGCCTAGGCTGCGGATGTCTTCCTGAAGCCTGGAGAGCGAGAGGGGTCGGTGCGCACAGACTCCTCTCGCTCTCCAAGCTTCAGCGAAAGCCTGCATTCGCCCCATAGGATGCACCCAGATTTCCCCTTCATTTTTGGAGGGGAAAAAGTGCGTCCTATAGGGCGAAAAATACGGTAAGTTTTGGGAAGTCAGTCCTAACCAGGGCTGCTTTATGTCCAGGGTTTCCTGGTGTGATGAGAGGTAGCTGAGGCAGCTCTTGGTGGTGGCTGTTCCCACTCTGGTTGTTGAGTCAACAGGGGCTGCAGGAGGTGATCAGTCACCAGTGTGCAGCCAGGGAAGGGGATTTTCAAACAGTGTTACGATGTGCGCCCCCCAAAGGCTCAAAAGCATAACAACTTTGGTGTCCGGATTTTCACTTTTTTAAATATGGCAAACCTAGTTCTGACAGACAAGTCAAATGGTTTCAGGCATTGACAATTCTTGCAATTATTTTAATAAATAATTTCAATTTTGTTCCCTTAAAATTTGGCATAGTTCTTATTTTAATGAAAGCTGACAACATGATATGAGGCATGTTTGACACAAAGTTTGTGCAATAGACATGAAAACACATGTAATATATGGATATAAATCTACGAGGAGGAGACACCTTTCCCAACCTGGTGCCCTCTGGATATTTTGAAGTGCCACTCCCATCAGCCTCAGCAAGCATGACTAATGGGGAGGAATTATGGGAACTGGAGTACGACAATGTTTGCTGTGCATCAGATTGAGGAAGGCTTACGTAGTGTATCTGCTATATTTGTTGATTTGTTGATGAGATGGTCTTCACCTGCTTCTTAAAAAGCTGTTTCTCAGGTCTCTCACATATTTAATTGGGCTATGCACCAATCAAAGAATTCATCTCAGATATTTCGTGCTTCAGAAAAGAACCAGATTTAGTCAAAACATATCTGGTTGTTGAGTCAAAAAAAGCTTCAGAGGCTCTTCAGTTTAGCTTCTGGTCTGTATCTGAATATTGGTCTGGAAAAAAGGCTTCCTGCCTCGTGCATTCACTAATTACAGGGAAAACAAAACAAAAATGCTATAATCTCTCCGCCCCCTTTGGCAGAACTGGATGAAATTTGCAGGCATGGTAGTCCCTTCTGAGAGAATTGATATTATTAAATCTCAGAAAATGGCTGCAGTGTTGTTCTTTTTCAGCAAGGACAACCTACAAACTTTGGGAAGGTTAAAAATGATTCCCTTAATCTCTCCTATTGTTTAATGTTGCCCTGTGCTACAATCCTTATTTTGAGTCCTCACTCACCCACCCTGCTCCCCCATAACTGCTATTTGTATCTGAAAATTAATACTAGGGAGGTTTTCATTACATCCCCTACCCATGGGGCATGTAAGGGGTTGGTACCGTATCAACACAGTGAAAAACTGATTCATAGTCAGGAGTCATGTGGTTTATTTTTCAGCTATATTTTTGCTGGAAATGTCATCACTACTACAGATGGGGAGACCAAGCCTAAGTATGGTAAACCAGTCCAAATTAAAGGTAAAGGGACCCCGACCACTAGGTCCAGTTGTGGCCGACTCTAGGGTTGCGGCGCTCATCTCGCTTTATTGGCTGAGGGAGCCGGCGTACAGCTTCTGGGTCATGTGGCCAGCATGGCTAAGCCACTTCTGGCGAACCAGAGCAGCGCACAGAAACACAGTTTACCTTCCCGCCGGAGCGGTACCTATTTATCTACTTGCACTTTGACGTGCTTTCAAACTGCTAGGTTGGCAAGAGCAGAGACCAAGCAATTGGAGCTCACCCTGTCGCGGGGATTTGAACTGCCGACCTTCTGATTGGCAAGCCCTAGGCTCTATGGTTTAACCCACAGTGCTACCCATGTCCCTAGCGCCACCCGCGTCCCTCAGTGTAAATTACACCAGTTTAAAATAAGCATGCATAAAGTAAATTGGATCCAGACTCTGTTCAGGAGCCCTTGGGAAGGGTAAGTGCCTGCTGAGTTGACCCCAGCCTGATGGATTGGAAAGCCATGGGAATTGTTGCCTCCTGTTGAAAGTGCAAAGGAGAGTTCCCAAGACCTTAAAACTTTGATGGCACACAACCATACTTGCTGGTCCAGAAGTCAACAGACACGTGTCACCAATCTAGGTGGCGATCTTTTTGTCTCTTCACCATTGTAGCTTCTTTAGTGGCAGTAAAGATACACAGAATGGAAAGACTCTTGAGGACACTTGATGAGCAAACCCCAGTTGCCGAAAGACGTTGGCAATCATAAAAAGGGCAGCATTGCAATAATGGAATTATCACAGGGTATTCCCGTTCTGGAACTAGACTTGCCACTGACTCTAACCCAGACCTCTCCCATGTATAATTAACCCTTGGTCCTCCACACTCTCTGTCAGCACAAAACTCAACATAAGGAATGGTGGAGAAATTAGGTTCCAATTGCATTTATAGGTGAATTCGCCTAATTTGCTCTTCCCGAAACAGGATGTGACCTGAGATGCGGCCTTCCTTCTAAATGTGCACTTCCCCCCATTTTGCAGTGCTGTTCTCCATTCAAGTAATGTGCATAATAATGCCTATATACGTGAAAACAACACAAAATACATGTTTTTAGGGGAAATTGTAAAAACATGGATATTGGGCAAAGTTGCATACAAGGATGTATATATTAGAAGTCTGCAGTACAATACGGATGGATTTTCATGAGGACTTGTAAATATATAAAATTGGTGTGGAACAAACTGATGTGGATCACTAAAATTAAGAACAGGGAACTTTTTAATGTTTGATGTTTTATTACGTTTTTGTATGTTGGAAACAGCTCAGAGTGGCTGGGGCTACCCAGTCAGATGGGAGGGGTACAAATAAAACCATTATTATTATTATTATTATTATTGACTGGAGGCGAAACAAGGGGGATTGCTAATCTGCTCATTTTAGATGCTGAGTAGGAATGCGCAAATCTGCGAAGTTTGGTTTATCTCTGTTTCTAATTTTTCTCCAATCTTAAATTTAGTTCTCCACATTTGTACTGTATTACCTGAACACCCCGCCCTGCCCCCACTTGCCTTCAATATGGTTGCTTCTTAACCCATCTGGAACCCAGCTGTTCCTTTGCTAGGAGTTTGCCATCATGTTTTAGACTCTTATCCATGGCTATAAAGGCAGTGATAACCTAGGCTTAACATCAATCATGTCGTTTATCTATAGACCCCCTGTAGTCCATTCTATTCCAGAACCACGAGTACCTATGGAGAGACAGATGTTTGCAAGATGATGGTGGTTCTTTCCCTGAGATGATCTTTTACTCCTTACTCTCAGATCCGCACTGATGTTTCGTATCTTGCTTAAAGAAAACTCAGCTCCAATCTAGCAAACTGTAGCAATCGGCATATTCGTCTTCATATAAAGTGATCCTAATAATAATAATAATAATAATAATAATAATAATATCACCCATCCCTGATTAAGCCCTACCTTGCTTTCCTTAGCATTACAAATTCTGTGCCAGTGCTCTCAAAACAGGGGAGAAAAAATATATCTTTCTTCTTCTGCTGCTGACATTCTGCTGATTCTCCTGCCTTCAAACGTGGACCAAAACGAGCAAACCGCTAATCATTCACAAATGTTCACATGCTCAAGTAGTCTAAACATGAAGAAAGAAAACTGGGCTTCTGTCACAAGGTCATTCCATTCAAAACCATCGCTACACAACTCACGCCATTATTTCTGATTTGAATTACAGAGCAAACAAACAAAAAGCCATCATTGCAACCTGGCGCCAAGAGGTGGCAGTACTGATCCACTGTTCATCTCTCAGAGAGAACCCAGTGCTGTTGCAATGTTTCTCCCTGACACAGGGATAGTTCCTACTCCTACAATCTTGCATCTTGGTTTGCAATAGAAGACAAATATTAAACATTTGCTTAATAAGGCTTCATAATATTGCTTTTATTTTTACCGCGGCGTGGCACCAGTGCTGGCTGCAGGGTAGGCCGTTGGTCTTTTGCATGGGAGCTCAGGATACATCTTCTGCAAGAGACTGTAGTATGTTCTGTTCTCTTAGCACTCATCTGAGGAGAACAAGGTTTCAGTTTAATTTAATGCACTCTATGTGGGGCTTCATTTGTCCAAAATTTCGTACAGAATGTGAGACCCTGTCAGCATGTAACACCCTTGCTCAAAGATCTGCACCGGTTGCCAATTTGTTATTGGCCCCAATTCAAGGTGCTGCGATTGGTATATAAAGCCCTCAGCGGCTTGGTACAAGTTTACTTGAAGGACTGTCTCACCCCTTGGAAGCTGGCACTAGCCGGAGCTACTCCCACCACCCATTGCCTGTCTCATTGCACATCACTAGTTTTAAAAAAGGTAAAAGCAAAACACACAATGGTAAAGAAAAAAAAGGTCCTTTGCTTACAGTTACTTCATAATCACAAGGATAGCTTTGGGTTCTAAGCCTACATTGTGAGACATAGTTTCATGGCATCCTCATGCAAGAAGTGGGAGAGAGAGAGAGAGACAGCGATCACAGGAGGAATGGACGGAGCTTAGTTGTTTAGTGGGAAACCATAAAGTGTTTCCCCCCTATCCATTAGTCTCTACACTGGCCAGGAGCGGAGGAAGGGGGGTGCGGTGGGGGTGGGTTGCCCCGGGTGTCACCACTGAGGGTGTGTGTGACAAAATGCTGGGTGGCACTCACCGTGGGGCCTGCAGCACGCCCAAGCCACACATCTCTTGTGGGAGTGACGCGATGGCTTGGGCGCCCATAGGCTCCGCGCTGTCTCCCAAACAGTTTGCCCGCCGCCTCCCCCTCAGCTGTAGGGCGGCTGAGTGGGAGGAGGCAGGCAGACTCCTCGGAGGCCCCGTGGAGTGTCCTGGCCCCACCCTGTGGGCGACAGGCCCTGCCCATGTGCAGGGCATTTGTGCCGCCTCAGGCGCCCAATCAACTTGCTCTGATGCTGACCTCTCTACAGGCTGGAGGCCTGCAAGGTTGCTTATACCCAACAATGCATACATTATAGTGATGTAGATGGTCTTTCTGATATTTGAGGCCTAAGTCATCATGGCACATAAACACTAATGCAAGCCCTTTGAATTGGGCTCAGAAACAAACTTTATGTCTCCTCCTGGATTTAATATCTTACAGGGGTCCTTCTCATTACATGGACATGCATGTTGCTGCAGTTACTTCAAATGGTATTAGGGTCGCCCCCTGCCCCACAGATGGTCATGTGCATTGCTTCAGGTAAGCTAGCCCTGTGACAATTGGGAGTCCTGCTGCTCATTCTGCTGAGCGGGGCTTTGGATAGCACCACTGAAAGGGAGAGATGCAATGAAAACAACCTTTGTTTTTGTTATGTACTGAAGTTCTCACCCTAGGCCAGCAGGGGGATACTGTAGATAGTTATGCAAATAAGGGATCGAAAGTGATGTTCAGTGATTGGATAGTTTTAGAAAGTTGTTACAATTATGTGTACTGGAGCTCTATATAAGCAGGCTGACTGAACCCTTCAGCTTAGTTCTGTTCTGGCCTCTGAATAAACAAGAACTGTTTGAAGAATCGCTGCGTCGTCTGATATGTTCACCCACAAGTTAACAGTTTTCATTCAGGCTGCATTCACATGGCAAGTTACTCTGTTCTCCCGATGTTGCCCTAACTGTTAATTTCCACATTATATTTGAGTTTTCACATGACATAAAAGTCACTTCCAGAAATATAGCAGAATATTCTTCTTTGGCGATCACTCGTAGCCAAGTAAGATTGTCTTCCATGACCGTGTTCATGGAAGCAGAATATAGCACAAGCTTAGTACTCATTTCTGTGTGATTTGCTTCCAGCAAAGAAAAAAAATATCTGTTTGCAGGTAACACAGAAAATAGCACTAAACTTGCACTGCATTCTGCTCTATTTCTGGAAGTGGCTTTTACATGTGAAAGCTCAAGGGAAATGTCATGGAAGTGGAATAAACTGCCATGTGATTGTGGCCTGGCTCTCATTACTTCACCTAGATTGCTATGCTAGCTTTTGAAGCCAGAAAGAAAGATGACAGACTCCACAATCTTCCCAGCATTCTGATACCCCTCACTTGCACATGGACAATATCATATTGGCTACATAAAAAGATAGGCCATTAGAGAATTGAGTTGCTGTTTGTATATATATCTGAAAGCATTTCTAAACTGCTTAACTTTTTTTTTAAAAAAAAACTCTCCACCATATACAATATCAAAACAATATCTATTAAAATGAAAATATGACCTAAACCAATAAAGCATATAAAATAAACAGAGAATCAGAGGGTTCCAGCACATAAAACATGGTCCAATCATGGTATTTGAGGTGGCCCATTTTCCTACTCTAACTTCCAGAGAACTTTGGATGAAATCAGGAGTGCAGGAAAAAGAAAATACTGTTGTTACACATCTGAGGGCACCCATAACTTCTAGAGTTAGTGAACGTGAGAAACTTATAAATGGCAGAATTTTGATAAAATTTGGAGTATTGAAGGGAAGATAATAGACCAGTGAAAAATACAGGCTAAGCTTCTTTTCCAGGACACCAGGACACAGGATAGAAGAAGAAGAAGAAGAAGAAGAAGAAGAAGAAGAAGAAGAAGAAGAAGAAGAAGAAGAAGAAGAATTTATTATTTATATCCCGCCCATCTGGCTGGGTTTCCCCAGCCTCTCTGGGCGTCTTCCAACAGAATATTAAAATACAATAGTCTATTAAACATTAAAAGCTTCCCTAAACAGGGCTGCCTTCAGATTTCTTCTAAAAGTCTGGTAGTTGTTTTTCTCTTTGACATCAGATAGAAGTTGTTAAGAATGGCAAAAGGTGCTGGAAACAAGTCATTAATCCACCAATGGAAATCAACCAAGCAAGAGGCTCTGCTGTTGAGGGGAGGAGGTTGTCAAGGTGATGGGGAGGCATGATGCCACACAGGAAAAATGTGTCCTTTTATAAAATAGAAGTTGGAAATTTGTGTACTGCTCAGTGGAGATTGGGGTAGCCAGTAACAGTACATTGATGTACAAGAATTCCACCAATATTTCTGCTTGGTTGCAAGCCAGTGTTCTTACATTGTTGGGCAACAATACATTGATTTCAGCATGAAACATGTTTATTAGCTATCACTGTTTGGAGAAGGGTTCAGGTGTGGGTGACCTGACTCCAGAAAAACTAGCTGATGCTGAAAAATATGTCTGCCACCTATGTGATCATGACAATACAGTGTCTGTCACATTCAACAGATATTTGATGTCACAATCAATGTCTTCCAACACAGAATGCACTGCATCACCGTCTGAAAAGAATTCAGTATCAGAGCCTGGTGTGGAAGCAAGCATACGCACAGGCTCCTGTCATTCTAAATCCTGAAGACATGGGATGGACACTTGAAAATGGAGAACTGAAATCCGTCTTGATGACAACCTTATGCAAAGAAATTATGTTCTGGGGGAGCAAGAAAGGATGTGGAGCATATCAGTGCAAATGTAAAAACAGCAAAATGACATATATCATACACTGTCAAGGTAACTTTGAAGACAGCGCATGTGTGGACCAATCAATGGACTGAACTTGCACATCTGTTGTCAACAGTAGTTGCTAATCAAATGTTTAGATGTACCAAAATGTTTTCATATGCAATAATAAAATTCCTATTAACTGAATAGTATAAAGTCCTTCTGACTCAGTTGTACACCAGAAATGGAGTGCACACTCTTCATTAGTTTGTCACTTTACAGAAATCCACCATAAAAAACCCAAGTGCTTTCAACTTTCAGGTTTTGAATTTCAAGAACTGGTGCAATGCTACCATAGAAAAAAATTCCTGAGCACATCAACAAATTGTCAAACTCTAAGGAGGGGTTGGCTAGTGTCACAAATAAGGGAATGACACTCAATTATAAACTACAGTGACTTAGCTAAAGCTCGTCCACAGAAGCCTGGGATTTGAATTCTAACCGGTCTACAAACTGATTCAGATTCGAGGACAGAAGTGAGGTTTTCCAGAGCCATGGATAATTTGAACTTTGGGGTCCCTTCTTCTGATGAATATCCATTGTGGACTATCACTGACCGTACTCAAGGTGAAGTCTGTAAACTTCAGAGATAATTTAAACTTCACAGATTTTCTCATGGGTGAGATGTGTGAATCTGCACTTCAGATATTACATCAGAATTAGTAATTCTGGCAAGATTTGTTTGTCGTTGACCTCTGAAACAGCCTAGGGATATGAGGATCTGTCAGTTTCAGTTTCTCATTTTTCCAATCTTAAGTTCAATTCTCCACCTTTCCATATCAGTTTTTGACTTTTTTTAAAGGGCCTCATGAAAATTCATAAGCATTCATCTGCATTTTTCCTCGTAAACATATTTTTGTATGCAATTTTGCCTGAGACACACATTTTGGAAAAGCAATTTCCACTCATATAATGATTGCTTGTAATTCATTTTCTATTTTTTAAAATTTTTTTAGAAAGTTTTTTACTGAAAACATCCATACAACCACAGAAAACAGACAAAGAAAGAATACACAATTCATACATAACCTAACTCCCACCACCCATAACACCCCTGTGACTTCCCTGCACCGCAACTCAACATCCTTAAGTCCTAGAAATTCATCTACCATTGCATCTTTTATATATTACTTCTCATATATGCCTTACTATTTATTAATTTAATTTATTCTTTACATACCTCGTCCATGCATATCAACATATTCTCTTTAGAAAAGTGATTTTTCATATAATCTTCAAAACATTGCCATTCTGATTTTAGTTTTTTATTTGTCTGATGTCTTATGGCTGCTGTTAACCTTGCCAATTCTATGAATTCATTTAGTTTGCATATCCAATCTTCTTTTGTAGGTATGTTATTCAATCTCACTAATATATGCATTTTAATGCATATTTTACCCTAGTACATATTACTTGGCTGTAGAACTGCACTGACAAATTATGAGAAGTAAGAATTTCAAAGAATGGCTGTGTTTCAGTTCGTGTATTTTTTCAGAAACCGTGAACTGGGTAGGTTTTTTAATGGACTCTGAATCGAAACTCTCCCCCAGCCTTAATAAGAGTCTCATTGATGCAAAATAAGATACCAGCAATTTAAGTCAGATGAGGAAGTCTAATACTAGATATGACCCGCAACCCAGACCGGTCATTTACCCCCATGAAACCTTTTGATTGTGATAAGCAAGATTTTCTTAGCTGTAATAAAGTGACATTCTCTCGCTAGGAATGAAATATTATCTCTCCTCCCAAGAGATTCATTTCCCCTCAACTTGTTGAGATTGAGCCCTAGGCCACCTGCATGTGAGCTATCAGGAAACACGGTGCTCTCACTTAACCACCAGACAGCTATCCAAATAGCAAAGCGAGGGGCTATCAGAGTTAATGCTGGTGTGTGCTAAAATAAAAGAACTCTCTGAGGTACAGCCATGTTGCTCTTGCCATTTGTCAGGTGTATAATCACCCTGGAGAATAGGAATAGTCAGGCCTTTGTAAAACTATGAATCAATGTTCTCTGAACAATTCAACTACTGTGTTTAGGTCAGGTCAATACCTTCCTGTCTCCAAACACTACTTAAGCCCTCCTGCCTTGCAGGGCCCATTACATCAAGAGATATCGCTAGTGCTGCTGAAAATCACAGCTTGCAATGTAATACGAAGAGATCCCTCTTAATAGCCCTTTCATATGAACAGCGGTTGGGGGAGTTGCCTGGGAACATTAATCCTTGTTTTCAAAATGATGCCCCATAACTCTGCGGCTATAATGTGGAGAGGAGAGGATTTGATGTGTGTGCAGGCAGAAGTCAGAACTGCAGTAAAACATTTTACTTCTAGAAATTTGAGCAAAGTCACTTTCATATATACAATACTGTATGGTTTTTGAAGGCGCCTTGAATTCACTTCCAACTAATACAGTGGTACCTCGGGTTAAGAGCTTAATTTGTTCTGGAGGTCCGTTCTTAACCTAAAACTGTTCTTAATCTGAGGTACCACTTAAGCTAATGGGGCCTCCCACTGCTGCTGCGCCACCACCAAATTTCTGTTCTCATCCTGAAGCAAAGTTCTTAACCCAAGGTACTATTTCTGGGTTAGCGGAGTCTGTAACCTGAAGCGTCTGTAACCTGCAGTATCTGTAACCTGAAGCATCTGTAACCCGAGGTACCACTGTAATGGAGAATTTTCAGGAAAATGGAGTGGCTTCCAAGTTTGCAAAGTGGTTTGGGAGTTCCACAGCAGGAAACAGCTCAATGGCAGAGCATTTGCCTTGCATGCACCCCAAGTTCAATCCCTGGCAGCTCCAGATAGAGCTCAAAGAGAACTGCTGCCAATCCGTGTAGACATTGTTGTTGTTTAGTCATTTAGTCATGTCCGGCTCTTCGTGACCCCCTGGACCAGAGCACGCCAGGCCTTCCTGTCTTCCACTGCCTCCCGCAGTTTGGTCAAACTCATGCTGGTAGCTTCGAGAACACTATCCAACCATCTCGTCCTCTGTCGTCCCCTTCTCCTTGTGCCCTCCATCTTTCCCAACATCAGGGTCTTTTCCATGGAATCTTCTCTTTTCATGAGGTGGCCAAAGTATTGGAGCCTCAGCTTCACGATCTGTCCTTCCAGTGAGCACTCAGGGCTGATTTCCTTCAGAATGGATAGGTTTGAACTTCTTGCAGTCCTTGGGACTCTCAGGAGTCTCCTCCAGCACCATAATTCAAAAGCATCAATTCTTTGGCGATCAGCCTTCTTTATGGTCCAGCTCTCACTTCCATACATCACTACTGGTGAAACCATAGCTTTAACTATACGGACCTTTGTTGGCAAGGTGATGTCTCTGCTTTTTAAGATGCTGTCTAAGTTTGTCTTTGCTTTTGTCCCAAGAAGCAGGCATCTTTTAGTTTCGTGGCTGCTGTCACCATCTGCAGTGATCATGGAGCCCAAGAAAGTAATGTGTAGACATTACTGAGCTAGATAGACTAATGGCCTGACTCAATAGAAGCCAGCTCCCATGTTCCTAAGCTTCTGGAAAAGAAAGATAGGAAATTTGTAATGGCCACCCCGCCCCTTGAATCATAAGCCACAAGCTTCATCATCCTTGCTACTATTTAAAAGCTGGTGCCGTGTAGATGGGACATCTTTAGCCTCATTTATGAACTCACAATGGCCTTAGGCAAGCCATGGTGGTATCTACCTAACCCTTTGCTACCATGCTGTTTGTTTTCTGGCTGAAATGGTGGCTGCAAGTGGGAAGTGCATATTGCAGGGCTTCGTTCTGGTGGTCCATGGCATTTCCGTGAAAAACGGTGGGATCAGTGGCTGCGAATGGCAAGTGTAGTGATTCCTCCATCATCCTAATAGCCAGGGGTGTCTGTCTGGAAGGTGAGGGGGTTGTACCAAAGTGATGGGCAGAGGAAGAGACTTTAAAGGAGGGGAGAGGTTTAGGCACAAGAAATAATGATGATGATAACAGAAGCAAAAAAACACTCCACAATTAAAATATCCTACAGCATCTATAATAATAATAATAATTTATTATTTATACCCCACCCATCTGGTTGGGTTTCCCCAGCCACTCTGTGTGGCTTCCAACTGAATATTAAAAACAATACAGCATCAGACATTAAAAAGATCCCTATACAGGGCCTCCTTCAGTTGTCTTTTAAAAGTAAAATAGTTGTTTATTGCCTTGACTTCTGCTGGGAGGGCGTTCCACAGGGCAGGCACCACTACCGAGAAGGCCCTCTGCCTGGTTCCCTGTAACCTCACTTCTCACAGTGAGGGTACCACCAGAAGGCCCTCGGAGCTGGGCCTCAGTGTCCGGGCTGGATGATGGGGGTGGAGACGCTCCTTAAGGTATACAGGATATAACACAGTATGATTGCTGCAATATGCAAAACAACAACAACAACAACAACAACACACACAAAAACCCCCAAACCATTAAGTGGTCTGCCAAGACCCTCAGAAAGTTTCAGTTGGTCCCTGGTGGGAAAGTTTTTGTACCTGGCATATCACTTTTAAGAGAGCCTGCATGAGAGTCTCCTTCTCAAAAGTCTGGATAGAGTTTCTTTCTTTCTCTTTCTTAGCCTTAAAACTGAGACAGTGTGCCCGTGGCTCAAAAACTGGTGTTTTTTCTTTTCTTTTTTGGTTACAGAACACTGTTGTGAAGGTACCCGAGTCTTCTGTGTGTAGCCTGATGACCAAAGCTTTGGAGTGACTAAGCACAACCCACATATCAACCACTCCCAAGGGACATTGCAGCCAGTCGGGGAGGACACAATTTTTGCAAAGAGGTGTCTGCAAAGAGATTACAGGAGTGCAGTTTCGTGTTGCTCCCCACTTGCTCCCAAATATGGAAGATGGAAGATGGAAGATGGTGGTGTCCTCTCTGACGCACAGCGTAAATTAATAATGCAGAGTTTTAAAGAATAAAAGCTTTACTGAGATAAAATAAACTTCTTCATAAACAACATGGTTCCAAACAGTTTGACTGAGCTTACATACTGACTCTGCTCACAACTGAAGCAGACATACTCTCACTGACATCTTACAGAGAAACACAAAGTGAAACTGGCTGCTAAGTCACATGTTAGAGTGACTCAACAGTTAGCAGTTAGGCCTGAATAACTTTAGGAGGCCCAAATGATTGTGCATTCCCAGCACTTCCCAGTTTGCTTTGCTGCTTCTGCTCTCACGTGTCTTTGTCACATGACACTCTCTTTCACTGCAAATGTCTCCCAAAGTTGGGCCAAACCTTCAGTCAAGTATTACATAAGATAAACCATTTTTTCTCAGTGGGGCATCTTTCAGACTGTGTGGATAGAAAACATCTGATAGCTCCTGCAGAGAGTTTTGCTAACTTATATTTCAAAAACGCTCCTCTGCCTGGCCTACTTTTCTGCCTTTAGGGGTATAGTAACGAAGGCCGCTTCAAAAGTTGGCAACTCAATATATCCTTCAAGCCCAATTCCAAATGCCTGCATGACAAGGAATGATAACACTGGCTTAGCGTGTTTGTGTGTCTGAGTAAGCAGCAACAAACTGGATACATATTCAAAGATGTAACATTCAAGATTATTTGGCTATCAGCTCATAATTTATATTAATAGTGATATTGGGGACTGAAGCTCTTAAGAAAAAAACTTTCATCAAATTATTAGATCAGGACATTGCCAGGAACAATCTGCAGAAATACACACTGGTTCAATTAGAAAGGAAATATTTGAGGTGAGAGTTCTAATGTATGCATGTCCATGAAGGCATTTGTTCTCTTTTCTGCATATCCTTTGCAGTTATTTCTTTCAAAAATTACAGAGTTCATGCTACGGAATACTTCCTAGCCGCCGTAATCAATTTTATTGAGGAGCTAAACAGAACAATAAGATTCTCTAACAACTGGGGCACATCCTAGCTCTCGTCAGCAGAAAATGTAAGCTAGGGCAAACCCTTTTCATCTTTTAGCGAGGGTCCATTATTCCTCTCTCTCTCTCTCTCTCTCTCTCTCTCTCTCTCTCTCTTCTGTGCTTTATGAAAAAGTTCGTATAGTAAATAATGATCGACTGTGTTGCCGTCCTTTGTTCTTTTGCCAAGCTCCTTTTAGCTTTGGCAGCAATTCTGTTTTCCCTGTCATCATCTAATGTCTATTTATTTTACATGGCTACAAAGCCAGTGAAATTCCCTCTTAAATCCCAGGTTGCAAAGATGAAGAAGCAATTCAATTCCTTTTATTAAAATTCTCCAGTGTACTCTCTCCTCCATCCACCTCCTAATTAGGTTCAGAAAGGGTCATCCATTTGAAAAGCTTCTGGAGAGGCCTTGGCTGAATGAACAGGTCATGCACACAACATTGCTGAGCAGCACTGAAATACCAAAGGGCTTGGGGTAACCCTCCTTCCCATGCCAGCCGCTGGCCTGGTCTTCGCCACACTCGCTTCTCTGTCTCCATCTCTTTCTCTCTCTCTCTCTCTCTCGCTCACAGTACATGGCTCATTACCTAAAGAAATAACTCACGTCGCAAAAGGAATGTAAAAATAGGATCTCTAGGCAGGATACAAGTGGATTCAAATTGCAGTTACGAAAGAGGGAAAGTTTGGGACGAGCAACTGGTTTGCCAGGGATGACCACAGCAGAATTCTCAAGCTTCCATGAGGTGAAAGAAAAACACTTTTGCTTGTCGCATGTGGCTTGTGTGCCCAACTTTACATTCGTGGAAGGCTGCTTGGTGGCCACCATGTTTGCAATCTCTTGAGTAACCTGGTACTCTAATGATTGGCCTGGGAGACACAAGTCACTGGTCACCAGTATGATTTTATTTATTCATCTGGAGCATTCATAGAGCACTTTTTAATGTGATGATTTCAAGGTAGCATACAAAAATTATAAAGAAGCAGCAATATGGTCATAACAATTTCCCCTCCAGAAAGAAAGAAAGAAAATAATTAGTCAGAACGTCTAAAATTTAATATGTACTTAAAATTCTGGGTGCCTAAAAGATCAAAAAGGTTGTTGCTATGCATATATCTCCTTGGGGTGGAAATTCATAGCCTTCTACTTAAATATTTACGACAGTATCCATCAAAGTAGTTCCATTAGTGTAAGGATTTCTGTTTGCACAACAGAACTTCCCTTTCCTCTCCTCTCTTCACATGCCCTTGTGCACTCCCCAGATCTGCTCCATAGGGTTGGAGAAACCCCCATAACTGGTTTAGGGGAACAGAAAATGAAAGGGGATTTCTTCTAAGCAGCCAGAAGTCCCTGTGCTAACACAAACTACTTTGTAGGATATCACCTTTACTATATATAGTGTTCCACACTTTTGATCTTAGGGGATCCCCAAGGTGGCCTACAAAGCGAATTAAGAAGAGCAAGATACAAAATAGCAAAACAAATATAGAGCAGAACAAAAATACAACAAGAAAAATCACAATAAAAATTATATTAAAAAAGAAAAGAAAAATCACATCAAATTTATTTATTTAATAAGTGTATAAACTGCCCTTTGTCAAAAAGACCATAGAAGTGGTTTACAACAAAGAACACAAATACCGATACATAACATAATATCACACAATATAATTTTTTTAACAGTCCTAAAAATACAGTTGTGATAATAAGAAATACAAAATTAAATACAGCTTCACATAATGGCAACAACATAAAATAGGAGAAAATCAACCGCAAGGTATCGGAAATACAAAAACAGTAGACAAATGCAGAATCTTCTCTCTATCCAAAAGTAGCTCTTATTCCCAGTCCCCACAGAAAATGACAGACCCTCCCCAGTTCTCACCCGAGAGCTTTCATAATAATAAGATAGCCAAGCAGCCTTTCCAGTTCACTGCATTAAGCAATGAACTATGCGTTCCATGCACGCAGCCTCATGTCAGAACTGGGCTCTTAGCCACAAAGCATGCAGCATTAGCGTGCCAACGCAGCACCTGCCTGGACCACAGATCCCTGGCATGTGACTGCTGCAGAGAGGACTGGTTTAAATGCCAGGCAGGCAGGTGGAAAGCCACCACACATGTACGTTCCCTGCCCCCGCCCATGCACTTGGTGTCACATTTAAATGGGGTTCCTCTCCCACATAGCTTCCAAACAGACACCTTGGACAAAGGTTCCTGGCTGTGATGAGCCCCAAGCTGTTAGGATAACGTAGTTTGCTTCTTGACCCACTGACTTGACTGCATAAATAAGTTGGTAAATACATAATCCATTCATAGTGGAGTTAACAGAAGGAGTATATGAAAATCTGTAGATATTTTGCCCATAATTAGTTTAGGAAATCCAGGCAATTAATTTGGTATTAGTCTGGTGTTATGCTTGGCGCCTGCTCGCATGAAATGTTATCCAGACAGATACTTTTCTCTATCATTAATCGTGATAAATCACCGCTTGCAGCAAACGGCAGTGAGGAGGAGGAGAAAGAGGTTTAAACCACCTTACTTACTGCAAAGTGCCTAAATTAAAATGGCCTAAAACCAACCCAGATTATCTGTTTGTCATGATCCAAGTAAAATTATGATCAGAGCGGAGTAATCACCTCTGGCTGCAGCATGAACTTTCCATTGTGTGAAAGCCAAACCAGTTTGCTTGCTCAGATTTTCACTTGAATCACAGCTCCTTCTGCATTTTGGTGATTCAAAGATGGGTGAGCGTTGCGGAAAGAGTCAGACAGAAAGAGCAATAAATACTACTCAAGATGATGTGTCATAAAACCAGACAAGCCTCATGGGAACAGTCAGGATTTTGTTTTTGTTTTTTATGTACTGTGACATACGTTGGGAATATAACTACATGAATTGCATAGTAGAAATCTGTCCAAATGAAAAATAGTTCTGTTCCTCAACAGACCCATTTTCACGTCCGCAACTTAGGAGTGTGTTGCATTTTCAGGAGGTAACCCTAGACCTTGCTAAATCCCAGGCAAAATATCTCCACCACCACTCCCATCTTCACTGCAGCCAGATATAGAGTCTCCCTGGCCCAGACACATAGATGGAGAATTGTGACCCAACACTGCTTCTTTTCTCAAAGCAGTGATGTGGATCCTCACTTTCCCAATTACCCCGGTCTTCCTTTCACACCTAAGCTGCACGCTAGATCTCATTGCTGTAGGGAATGGCTGGAAGTCACATTTCCCTTGTGGAAGCTAAGCAGGTCTGGGTCTGGTCAGTGCCTGGATGCATTGCCACCTGGAAATGACATGCACCTTGGGTAAATATAAGAAAATAAAGTAATAAATAAAGGTCTAATAATTCACAAATGATTATGCTGTGCCTCAATTCTTTCCTTTTGCCTTTCTTTCTTTCTTTCTTTCTTTCTTTCTTTCTCCCCCTCTCTTTATTTTCTGGCCCTGCTCCTCTGTGTGCTCTATCTCTCTCTCTCTCTCTCAAACTGAAATACAGAATATAATGGGTGGAATTCAACGTAGTGCTAAGTAGGGTATGCACACATGAAATGAGGTCCACTTGCACAGTGGGGCCTTCTCCCCGCCCCCTGTGAGGTCCCTAGACTTGTTTCTAGGGGTTCCACAAACTCTTCTGAACAGATTTAGGGAGTGGGGGGTACAAGGAAGGAGGAGATGAGGGCTAAGTCATATTGCGTTGGTGGTCCTTGTTCTATGCACACAACTTAGTTGAATGCCACCCAATTTGTGGAGTTCCTTCTTCCCACATCACGATTTAATGCATTTTGGGTTGTCCTTATTTTGAGATGAGAACTGCATTGCAAAATTCAGAGAAGTGTAAGACCTGAAGGACAATTCCAATTCAACCTGCGTATCCATCTGAGAGGTGCTAATTAAGTTGGTTTGCTTAAAAATGCAAATAAAATTGTCCTCCATGCTTAGCATCTTCCCGTTTGTCTTGATCTGTATTTTATACTTCAGTTCCCTAAAAGCTAGGTCTGGTACTGCCAGTGGAAGTAAAAGCAGCTTAGGAGAAGCAATTTTCAGTGGAAACACATTACAAGCAGAAAGAGTTAATCTTACACCTACACTGATCTTGATATTACATTTCAGTGGATTAATTTTGTGTGTGTTAAACCCCCCCCCAAGGTTCACCAAGACCGTTGCTAAATTTAGTCCATTTCATATGTTCATATCATGTATAGTGTTTTAGCTCTAGGTTACTATAATGCATTCTTCCCCGATCTGTTGTCCTCCAGATGTTTTGGGTGACAGCTCATATCAGCTATATAATAATAATAATAATAATAATAATAATAATAATTTATTATTTATACCCCGCCCATCTGGCTGGGCTTCCCCAGCCACTCTGGGCGGCTTCCAAAAGAATATTAAAATACTATAATACATCAAACATTAAAAGCTTCCCGAAACAGGGCTGCCTTCAGATGTCTTCTAAAAGCCTGGTAGTTGTTGTTCTCTTTGACATCTGGTGGGAGGGTGTTCCACAGGGAAGGCGCCACTACCGAGAAGGCCCTCTGCCTGGTTCCCTGTAGCTACAGGGTGTAAAACATCTGGAGGGATTCTGGCTAGAGCTGATGGTTTTTGTGGCCCATAATTATCTGGAGGGCATAGGACTGGGGAAGGATGCTTAAAATGGTTGTTTGTCCCCATGCCATTTCAGAGTTGTGGTGCTATCATTCACTGGACAATGGACACTTTGGCCCAGCTGTGGTGAGTGGGATTAAGGACCCAGGCCGACAGGGCTCGGGAAAGTTTTGTTTGGGTAGCATTTGCAAGTCTGTAAGGAAGAGCTCATGCCTGTTAGCTCAGGGGTTCAGCACACAAGTAATTCCTCTTCACAAAGAACCAGGGCAGACATTGTTTAGATTTCATTAGAAACTCATCAGACATGCTGGATGTGAAATCATGGTTGCTTTGGGCCAGCAAGAAAAAAAGAAATAACATTTGTGGCAAGGAAACTCTAACCCAGTAATTAGACCCAAGGAAACAAAAAAGAAAAAGAAAAAAAGGAACTCTTGACCCATTTTCTTCCTGTTTTTAAATATATTTTATTGTCCCGTAGCAATCACTTGGAAAGCAACTGGCAATAAAAGTCCAACCACTCCCATCTGTTGTCAAGATCCACCTGATGCCTGCAAGCGGGGCTGAGTAGCGCCTTGCAGTGGCTGAAATCAGAATAATGAAACGTAATGATGTATTTGCTCATTTTAAGCAGTGGCGCCTTCAGGGAATGACTTTGGGGCAGATGTCCTGAGCCCCACTCAGCAAAATAAACAGCAGGATCCCCAAATTCAGTATGGTTCACTAAAAACATTTAAAAGTAAATTAAGTACAGTGGTACCTCGGGTTACATACGCTTCAGGTTACATACGCTTCAGGTTACAGACTCCGCTAACCCAGAAATAGTGCTTCAGGTTAAGAACTTTGCTTCAGGATGAGAACAGAAATTGTGCTCCAGCGGTGCAGCCACAGCGGGAGGTCCCATTAGCTAAAGTGGTACTTCAGGTTAAGAACAGTTTCAGGTTAAGAATGGACCTCTGGAATGAATTAAGTACTTAACCCAAGGTACCACTGTAATACACATTACCATCTAAAGATGGTACCCTCTTCTTTAAGACCATTATGTCCAGAGTCTAAGGATGCAATCCTGTGGCCTCTGGGAAGTCATCTCAGCAGCAATAGGATGGACTGGGTCCCTCTACCCGACGTCAGACTCAGAATTCCAGTGTGTAAGACAGCGAGAGAGACTACATTCATCCCACATAGCAGGGCCAATAAGGGGCCATCTGAGAATGTTCCTCAGCCTTCCTCCTGGTCTCCTGTCATGTTCCCCAGACCAGGGGGCAGTTTAGATACCCTTTTGAGCACATCTAAACCTCTCCTTCCTATTGCAAGCTCAGTTGGAAACATTTAGAGGGACAATGGAAGGGGGGAGGGAAGGATGTGAAGCCCAGAAATGGACAGAGGAATGCAGCACATTCCTGCACTCTCACTCCCATGCTGCCGGCACAGTCTGGCAAGGTTTAGGATGAGGTGATGGGTCCTTTCCCCCTTTAGGATTGCAGCACAACAATACCTTAGTTGCACCACCGATTTTAAGATTGTCACCTTGGTGCTTTTACACGAGCCCTTAAAGAGTCCCTCCAATATATATTTTTAAATTATTATTTTTCAGCATTTCCATATGCCTCTCTCAACGTTTTCGTTTCCAGCTGGGTTAGAAGTCAAAAGAGGCCAAAATACCTAGACAGGAACAAAGGCCGCCAAAATACTGAGACATGAATAGAGAAAGGCCAAAATACCGAGACAGTAACAAAATAGTAATGAGAAGTACTGGATGCCCCACAAGGCAGCTTTCATGTTGTGAGAAATCCAATCATATGTGCTGACTGACGAGATCCAACTTGTTTAGATAAGCTCCAAATAAGCATTTAAATCTTGAGGTACTTATCTGAGTTAAATGCAA